GGATCTATTGAGTTTTTCTTGAACTTGAACGCGAAAAGCGAAGAAATGGGGATTTCTCGATCTGAAATAGTGGAGAAGGCATTGAAATCGACCAGAGAGCTTGTGATTTTGGTGGAAGATGTGGAAATGGCGGATTCACAGTTCATGAAATTCCTGGAAGATGGATTCGAGAGTGGGAAATTCGGAGAAGTAAAAGAAGAACGCATCGAAAAATTGATATTCGTTTTAACAAAAGACGATTCCTCCGATAAAAAGAAGAACAGAGATTCTTCCTCATCTGTAATCGAGATGGCCCTAGAAATCGACGCTAGGGAAAAACACAAGCGAAAGGCAGAACGGGAAATCGAAAACAAATCGAAGAAAGCAAGAATCAATAAGAACAGACAATCAAGCATCAACAACAACACAATCGATCTCAACCAAAAAGCAGCCAACGAAGAAGATCAAAAACAAGAACAAGACGATGCAGAAACGAATCAAACATTACCAAATGGGCAGATAAGTCCGATATCGAGCGATCTAACGCGCGAAACAACCATGTACGATCGGAAAGCAGCAAATGGGTTTCTGGAATCGATCTCAAATCGGTTCATTCTGAATTCAAAATCAACCCAAGAATCAGAAATCAGAGAGCAATTGAGGCGGATAATGACAGGGGCATACGAGGAGAATTGTAAAAAGTGGAAATGGGATTGGGATTGGGATTGGGATTGGAATTGGGATTGTAGATTTAGAGTGGAAGAGGGGGTTTTAGAAGGGATTTTAGAGGGATTTGGTTCATTTTCTAACAAAGTGTTTGAAAAATGGGTGAAAGAGATTTTTCAAACGAGCTTAGAAGGTGGTAGATATGGCGGGAAACAGGAAGGGGGTATAGATATAAGGCTGTGTTTGGATCAAAAACACATTTTGGAGGAAGAACACGAAGAACACGAAGAACACGAAGAAGGGTATATGGGTTCTTGTCTCCCTAAAAAAATCAAACTTTCTTCTATGGATTGAAAGTGGTCTTCATGTAAAATGTAAAATCTCTCGCTAGTCCTTAACTCTTGTATTTCATCACTTTTCTTAATCACTTTCACTTCAATCTAATCTTTCTCGAACGTAACAATATCCATTTTGTATCATATTTAAGGGATTCCTGAGTTCGGGTCAAAGAAGCAATGTCACTCGATCATTATCAAATCGACTGCAATCTTTTTCTGTCCATGAGGATCCCAATCCCAACAGAGCGTGTTCTCCTTCTAATAGGCCATAAACTAGATCAAAATCATTCTCAACCAATCCATGAAAAGGGATCTCATTTTTTTCATCGGGTCCGGATAGAGACCAAAGGTCGAGAAGGGATTCAAACTCGTAACAGTGTGATTCGTAGTCACGTTGAGCTACAAGCCTCACTCCGTCTCCACTAGATCTATTCTCAGAGTATCATTAGAAAATGAACATTTTCTATCTATAACATACAATGTTCGTATTTCTTATTAAAAGATGTTTGTTTGATATTAATATAATATCGTTTTCAGCGCTACTCGATAGTCAATATTTGCAATATCGTTGGTTGGTTCGTGAAGATCCTATATTTATGGAATCGTGTCCACAATTAAATTTTTTTTTGTTCGTGCACCAAAAAATAAAATAATGACAAAAGCTCAGAAAGTTTTGAACATATTTTTATAATTTTCAGTGCTGTGAAATAATGACTAAATGTGTAAAACGAAAAAACAAACTTAATCAGATCGGTCAAACGTCTATATCATTCAACTGAAATAACAGATTACGGTACCCATTTGTTTAAATAATTCATCTCGAGCAACCAGCTACTTCTCATACACCGTCGATAAATATATAAATAAATTATTATTTTTTTTTTTTGGGATCTACAAAAGGGGGAATTGGGAATAGGCTAAAGAAATATCTTTTTAACACATGAAATGATTTTTGTGAACATAATTTTTATTTTTTTTATTTTTTTTTTCAATATATATATATATAAAGAAAGTGAAAGGGCTCACATCCACCGTTGGATGCAATCATTTGGTCTCTCATGATTAACAATTTTTTTTTTTTTTTTTTTTTTTTTTTTT